CTAGACACCAATAATCAGAGGTCAGTATCAACATGATGGAAAACTAGTGATTCAAACTTAATGAAATTAAAGATGTTATTTTGATTTAAGCTAGCTAACAAATTGATTAATGTTTTTTGAATTTAGCCAATGTGATGATGTAGTTCTTATCAAATTGCATTACACAAGAAACTAATATTCACGGCATGGAAGGGGTAGAATTTGGATGTAGTGAATTAAACTGGATGATTAATGTTCGGACAAATTACATTTTATCCCCCTGTGGTTTAGCATTTTTTACAGAACCCCCCTATGGTTTCAAAAGTTATACATAACCCCCTCATGGTTTGGATTAAAGTGTTAAAGTAATGGAAATAGTTATTCATAGCGGAATTTCTGAAAATATCGAAATTACCCTTATAAATACATGATACATTAACCCCATATGATTTTTATATTTTACCATATAACCCCCTTATGGTTTAATACTTTACCATATAACCCCTTTATGATTTTCAAAATATACACATAAGTAATACAGGATTTCTTAGAAGTAATACAGGATTATTTAGACAAATCAGAGAAGAACCAGTAAGCGCATTAAGTAACCCCGTAAATCTTAGATTGATAACACAACAAAGCATAAACCAAATTAGAAGTGTTAAAGTAATGGAAATAGTTATTCATAGCGGAATTTCTAAAAATATCGAAATTACCCTTATAAATACATGATACATTAACCCCATATGATTTTTATATTTTACCATATAACCCCCTTATGGTTTAATACTTTACCATATAACCCCTTTATGATTTTCAAAATATACACATAACCCCTCTTGGTTAATAAATAATTTTCAACTTTACATAAGGGTATTTTTAATATTTTATGTGACTCCATTAAGAATGATCATTCCCGTCACTTTAACACTTTAATTCAAATCATGAGAGGGTTATATATAGCTTTCGAAACTATAGGGGAGTTAAGTAAAAAAATGGTAAACCACAGGGGGTAACTGGAATTTGCCCTTAATGTTCTAAAGTAATTTGAATTAAGAAGAAAGTAATCAGTTGAGAAACATCATTTGCATGTTGTGGGTTCATATATTTCTTACAACTGGTATATGTGTAGATGCATGCATGAGTGTGGTATATTAATTTATACACTGGACCTTTATTTACGAGTTTAATTTTTCATCATTCTTTTGTATATAATGAAATGCACATTATTATAGCCAACAATACCTGATTATTTTGTTGGGACTTTGGAAAACAACAATATTAACTGCATGAAAGGGGAAGAATTTGGATTAGTGGATTAAATTGGATGTTTAATGTTCTAAATTGGTTTGAACTACATCAGAAATTTTCAATTTAGATACATCATTAGCATGCATGTGGTGTGCGTAAATGAAAATATCTATCTATTTATGTATTTATATGGTATTTTTATAGACACTTACATGAGGTGGAATCTATACTCAAGAATCCCTTCAATTACAAGTTTTGCATTATTTTTTTGTATATTGTAAAAAGCACAATTGTTGTAACCAACAATACCTAATGATTTTGTTGGGACTTTGGAAGAGAGAATATTGCTTTTGAAATAAGTGACCAAAAAGAGGATATATTGTGATGTATGAAAATCTCAAGATAGTGTATGGTAGATTGGTAGGTCTCTAGTTGTTCTAACTATTAGTTGTCTCCACATGGCTGCTAAAGCCTCTATAACCTTTAGCTACTTGTCCCATGTATTCTTTTCCTAATTAATAGTTCCATGTTGGGATTTCTAATTTGCTTTGCCAATTATTGTCACTGAGATTACAACTCTTAACAAGCACTTTGGGACCCCCCCTCCCCTCCCACTAATCCAATATTCCTTCACCCCAATACAAACAAAGTCCTTAACAAATTGGAGGCCCTACCTCAACAATCCCCCCAACATCATCAAGGGGCACTTTTGGACAAAACCCTTATGGGAGTTTTCCTTAAAATTATTGATGGTTTGATGGTATTAGTTAAGGTTATATTAATTAGTACTCATCTAGGCTAGATAGTGTACTCAAAAGTTTATTCATAGTTCTTTTACAACAAGATTCAAATTGTTTATAATTGCTTGAATTATGTCATATTACTAGATTAGGTAAAGATGATTGGACATCTTGTTTTAATTTATTTCAAGTTAACAACAATGAGGGCACCTTTTGGATTTTATTGATGATGAGGGTATAATTAGGGGTGACCTTAATTGGGTTAATGTTAATCTACTTGTGTTTTATTGATTAGTTCAGATATTGTTTGGTCAAAATACATATCTCACTAAGAAATCATGATTTTGGGTTCTGAGCTGTGGCGAAATCAGGAATCATTAATGTACAGTTTAGGAATTTTCGAAAAATAATTTCGCTGGTCTCTTTTAAAAAAGTTTTTCTGGGTTGTTACCTGTGCCGGCTTTATGAAATGCATGAACTAAGGAAGCTTCTTCTTGAGTGAAGCCGCTTTTTAGTAATTTTATTTTATTTTTGTCTTGAGAGGAATTTCAGTTGTTTTTTTTTAAAAAAAAAAAAAATCTTCCCACTCTCAATTGTCATGTCAGGTCACTGAGCCAATCCCAGTGGTTGCATAGTGAAGCTTCCAAGAATAATTTCACCACTTTAACATGTAAAGCCATGCATAGGGTACCTTTTCAAAATTTTTCTTATAAAAAAATTTTGCATTGTAATTGTCTTCCTTAACCAAAAGGAAAACATAGGAAAATAGATATCTTACATTTACTTTTTTTTAATCCAATTGCTAATCCCAATGAAACGAGGCCTTAACCTTTGAACTTCCATATGTTGAATTTGAAGATTGAATTGTTAGATAATATATCTCTTTTAGCTGTTACATTACCTATTTTTAACTTTTTAAATCTTAAATTAGTGTTCCATTCTTAGATCCTCTTTTCCCTTGCCCTCCCCTCCCTGCTTCTTAAATCCCACCCATTCTCTACTTAAAAAAGATTTTAAAAAATGCAACAAATTACAGCACAAAAATATTACAAAATGTAAAATGAATAAAAATATAGTTGGTCTTTATATATTGTATAAGATTATGAAAAACCTATGGTAATAGGATTAGTGCAAATAAATTACAATTCAACAATATTACAAATATCAATAAATGGTGAAATGAATAGTAACAGATAGTTAGAAGAAACTCATTTGTCAACAGCTGTCCGAGCATATTATTAGTTTTTTCTCAATTCTTTCACCAAACTTTTGCATCTTAACAAAAAAAATTTGGCCTCTAAAATTATATGCAATACATACATACATATATAAATATATATATATAATTGGTTGTGTACATGTATTTATAAAAAATTTCTCTATCCTTTAGAGTTTTTAATCATCCAAGAATCAAATTTTAAGTGCATTTATGTTCTATTATTATTTTCTTACATGTAAAGATTTTGTATTAATACATTCGAAAAAAGTCATGACATTTCACATTTCCTAATATATCTCTTTCTTTCATATATTAACTTATTAATATTAATTTGAGTAATACAAAAATGAATCATAGGGTAAAATTTAGTTGAAACTAATAATTAAGCTATTGCTGAATTTATTATTTGTATTCTATTTAATTTCAAATTTTCTCTTGCATTTAGTATCTTAAATTATACAAACCTTGGTATTCAAGTTATTTTATATCAATAATTGTTCAAAAAGAAAAAAAAAGAAAAAGTTCTTAATAATAAAAAGTGCCATGCAAATGCAATGGTGAATAACTCTTTTAATTAATAATTTACTATTCATTAGCTAAATTGGTCCCTGAACATTTACACTAAAACCAATTTAATCCTTTATGAATTTTTTTAACCAATGTAGTCTTGGAACTACTTTTTGTTTTTTAACGCAGGACTTCTGTGGCGCCACCACCAAATTTTACATCTCTTGTGCGACTACTTAGGGGTATTTTTATCATGTGGATCACATTTTTCAATAAAGTGGTTAGAACAAACACAACACACGATTAAATTTGAAACATTTAGGGGGAGATGGAGAACATCTACTCACTTTGGCCCGACGGCAAGTCGCCAAATTCGCACCTCCTTGTGCAAATTCTCTCCAAAGAAATATATTAGAGGAGGAACTTCGACCATGGTCCATCAAGTTCAAAAAGCAGTCAACAATCAAGCCATGATAGGAAAGAAAGTGGGCAATCATCAAGGGTGAATAGAGGAAAGGTAGAGTTCTATAATGGGAATGAGGTTGGTTTCCATCACGGGCGAATAGATAGAGGAAAGGTAAAGTTTTACAATAGGGATGAGGTTGGTTTCTATCACTGACGTGAAGCATGTCGAATAGTGATTTCGTGGATATTGTTGAACCTAGGCAAAAGATTTCATGGCTGCTCAAATTATGGGATAATTTTTTAAATTAATTTTTGCCAATAAAATATGATGTAGTTATTAATTAATTTAGAATAATGATGGTAGTAATTTTTATTTTAGGCACCAAATGCTTGCAACTACTTTTTGTGGTATGATCCACCTATGCCACTGATGACAAAGAATATGGTGGCCAAAATTTTGAAGAATCTGAGGACGGCCGAGGTGGAGAACACATTGATGAAGATTGAAATTGGAAAGCTTCAAAAAGAGAACAAGATGATGAAGATCGAAATTGAGAAGTTGAAAGCAACAACGAAATTGTTAGCGGTTATAGTGATTTGCTCTTGTTTTTTTTTGGTTTGCTGTAGTTCTTGGCAGTGGCCAGGAAAGACAAAGTGTCATGGATTTGAAGCCAAAAATGTTGCAATAGAGCTGGTATAAAGATGGACCCAAGGCATGGTTGTGTTTGTATTTTCGATTTTGTTGTAAGAAAATTTAAATCCATGAATGTAATATCTGTGTATGTAATATATGCAATGGGAAGTTGAATTTCAAAAATGTTGACATAGTTGCTAAACTTGGTTGTGGCATTTGGGGTTGAAAAAAATTTGGCAGAATTTTGCCTTAAATTTTGATATCCGCTAATTTGGACCTGTACCAAGAATCACAAAACAATGGAATGACAATCACAAGACATGATGTTGGTAACAAAGCCACTTCCATTGCTTAACCAAAAAGTTTACATTAAGTTCCGAACCAAAAAGAGGACAATCAGCACACAATCTTTGTAGATACTGAGCAAAGGATAATATATAGTCCCTAAACATCTGCACCAGCAAGTCTGGTTCTAATTTTGATCTTCAAACAAATGCCAGCCTGAGTTATGAACTTGCGGGTATGTTCTTCATCTAACAGCCTATGTGCCTGCATTGAACAGATGAATACTTCAGCAAACTATATTTACAATCGGACTTTTTTTAAAAAAAAAAAAAATGACAGAAGTAAACTCACTGTTTCTTTTTCCCTAGTTTTCTTTTCCGTTGATTCAGGAAATGGACCATAAATCCTCATATCACCTCTTCTCTTTCGCCATTCTTGAGCCTGGCAACTTGAACATGTTGTTCCGTTACCTATGCCGTGGCATATAGAACACTCACTGATCTTAGTTTGGTCTTTGAGGAATTTGGTTCGAAGCTGAAAGCTGGACATCAATGACTTCAGGCTCCTCACTCGCAGCATGTACATCTTCACCCGATAGCATGAAAAGTAATCTCTTAATCAATCAGCATAATATTAAATTTAGCTGAAGTGTAAAGTAGATCTTGAGTAAAAATCTAACTAGCCATTATAAATGATAAGAATTGCCTTGTGGGGGTCTTTGATTTCTCTCATTGTCGCATACTTCGTCTAGGAAAAAAAGAATTAGGCCCTGTTTAATAATTCAATTCAACACTTAAACTTAATATATTCAGATTTTAACATGTTCAGACGCGTTTGATAATAAAAAATTGAACATCTGAATTAATTAAGTAGCATTGAATGCTTATGCAAAATTTGCTATAAAAAATAAGTGATGACCTATTTACTTATCACTTAATGTGATGTCTACTCAAATGTATTAGATTTAGTACGTAACAATTCAATAATTTAATGGATTCAAACTTCAGATTTTAAATTTTAAATTTCAGTTTTCAGATTTCCGTTTTATTAAATGCACCCTTAGTCTTAAGTTTATAATCATGTAATAAAAAGCCAAGAATTGTTCAAACTTGGACTTTACCAGCTCTTATATCTAAATGAGGTCTTCCTTTCACATCAATTTTGTTTGGACAGGTTCTTTTGTTATGACCCTTCATTTTGCACTAGGCACACTTGTTGGTGTTAGATAGAGAAGGCCTTCTATTACAAGATCCAGCAATTACATCAGGTTGTACAATCACTGGGCATTTCCTCACTATGTGGCCTATTTGATGGCGTTTTGAGCATGTCATTTTGACAAGTCCACTTCTTGGAAATGTGATACCATCACTTGAATTTGTCCTTGGTTCATCTGGCTCCCTTTTCCTTGACGTCTTCGGCTTACCCGGCAGCATCAACTTCTTAGGTGGCAAGATTGGTTCCCTCTTTAATTGACCCAAGCATTAGGCCCGCTCATTGGACCTATAATTGGTTCATATTCCTTTCAAGTAGCTCTCTTTTGAGTAGTATGGATGAACTAAACTCTCTGTAGACACACCCATCAAATAACCGTTTGGATCGACCTATTTTTAAAAAATAAAATTTTTAAATACAATCTTATAGTAATATACAAATAAAAATAATTTAAAAAACATACTCCCTCCGTCCCATTGAAGTTGTCATACTTTCCTTTTTTTTCTGTCACAAAATAATTGTCACATACCCAAAATAGAAAGCCTGTTTACATCCAATTTCAACATTTACCCTCTTAAAATATGGGTCCTACAACTTTAACTCAAAAGTCAATGTAAAAAGGAAGCACCACAATTTGGTGCGTGAAAGACACCCCCAAATGTGTGCCATGCGTTTGTTTATACGTGCTTTTTTATCATGAATTTTTGAGCTAAACAAAATAGATAGGCCCCACACCAATAAATTTCTAGCATAACTTTCTTTGTATGCATTACACGTTGGAGGGCAAAGGTGGAAAGTAAAACAAAAGTTGCAAGATTCGGTGCACTGTTAATAAAAATCACAACTTCCCAAGTGCGACAAACTTATCGGGACGGAGGGAGTATCATTCATAAAATATATTCAAAACAACTCACAAATATACCCAAAAAAAATAAAAAAAATTAAATTTTATAACATTTTCTACCTATCACCACCATCCACCATCACCCCCTCCCCCTCCCCCTCCCCCACCCACCACCGCTACCACCTCCTCTCTCCTCCCCCGCCCTCTTGGTCCTTCTCCATCTCTCTCTTCCTCCTACCCCCCTTCCCTCACTCATAACCACAATCGAGAATAGATCGAGGGGCGGAGAAAGGGCTGGAGGGTGGTAGGAAAGGGGAGGAAAGGAGAAAGGAGAAGGGAGGGGGTGGTAGCAGTGGTGGGTGGGGGTGGGGGGTTGTGGGTGTAGGTGATCGTATTAATTTTTTAAAAATAGTCTAAAAATATTTTAAATTTAAAAGGTACCCCAAAATATATTTCAAAAACATCACAAAAAATCTACAATAAAAATTTTTCATATACACTGCTACAGTAAAATATTTCAAAAACATATTAAAAAACAACTAATCCAAACAGAGTTATGACACACTAGTTAGCTCCCATCTTCTACAAGTGCAAGTTTTGTTTGGAATGTCAATGACATATGTGCCCTCATACGTGTGTTTAACGTCAAACAACTCCTCCTTTGATCATTTGCAATGTTGGCAGTACATTTTTTTTTTTTTTTTTTGTATTTTTTGGGCAGATTTTGTCAATTTTCTTCTTCATCATTCCCTTTTGGTTCACAATCTTTCCATTAGATAAATTCTATTTACCTCAAACATGCCAAGAATTGGCTTCTCACTTACATTTGTTATCCCTGAATTAAAGTCTAACAATGGTTGTTGAGTAGAAAATCACACTTGGGAGTGGTATGGAAGTGTGACCATGACCAGTGGTGAGGTGATGTGTTGTCCATCAATCACTTCTAGGCAGCTCCATCATACTCCCTTAAAGAGTCTATTTGATTTTGGAACATTGTCATGTAAGTTGACCTTGCACATGTCCAGAAACTCTCTTTTAATGCTTCACTAGGATTTAACTTTTATTATTATGAAGATGTCTAACATAATGCCTGTGCTCAACACCCGAAATTACTTCTTGAGTAGATCCTAGGCCTTTTACAAGTTAAGTACAAACACAAATTTATCAGTAGGCAACCATGTAATAGAATGTGACAAAAAATTAATTCATATTAAAAATGATTAACCTTTTATATATCTATCACTGATGAATGTCCAGCTTCTTTGATCACGGATTCCCAAATCGTGTTTTAGGAATTCAAGAAACCACTTCCACGGCCTCTTATTCTGAGTCTTCACTATTGCATAAGCAACTGGGTAAATGCAGCCATTGGGATCTTTCCCCATGACAGTTAAGAGCACCCCTAGATGTGAACTTCTCAAGTGGCAGTAGCCATCTACACCAAGTAAACGCTTGCATCCAGTTTTAAATCCTCTCTTTAGTGCATCAAAACAAATATATGGCATCTGAAATATTTCTTTCCTAAGGCCTTCATCTAATGTTGTCTCCATGTAGACTGTAGAATCCAAATTTCCCTTTCAGCAACTCTTTACAATAATCTCATAACCTTTCATATTGGTCTTTTTATAGCTTCCATGGAGTAACACTTTTCCCTTCATGAATGTCTTTTAAACTAGAGTCACTCTCTTGTTCAATCTTAAATAGTCTACATACTTTCTTGCCAAGATTCTCGAGGTTGCTCTCTTATGGTAAAAGGTCCTACCACATTTGTGTTCTAGACCTATTGTCTTCATCACCCTCTTCAACTTCAGAAGCAAACAACATCCATATACAGTTTTCAGCCTTGTATTTGACTCTCATTCTTGCAGCATCTTGCTCCACGCACTTAAATGTCCTTGCCCATTTGACTACATAGTTGTCAACTACTGTCTTGAACAACTGTTAACATGGAATTTTGGATATTCCATGTCAATTTTAGGTTTGAATCTCGCAAATTTAGGCCTCCTCCTTGTGCTATCTTCATCAAAGAAAGAATACACACTTTTCAACTCATCTGAGACCATTGAATCAGATTCTTCTTAGACTAGAATCTAGTCTCTATCATCAAGGTGTAGCTCATTCATAGCAGTCGCCTTGGCTCTACCCTTTTAAAGTGCTACCTCCATTGCCAGCTTGCAAATTACCAATGCGCATCCAGCTCTTTCTTAGGACCCACAACACAAGTTTGGAATATCTCATCATCATCATCTTTACTAAAATCATAGTCACTGTCATGGAAGCTATCACCTTTAGACGAATCTGAATGTGTAACTTCATTAGGGTCATTTTCTTCATGTAAAACAGCTTCTGATTTTCCCTTTTCTTCTTCAAATGCTCTATGATTTTCTCTACACGAATGCAAGTTCAATATCTTCAAAGGTTATATTGACAAAGAAATCATCTTCTTCTGCAACATTAGTGTCACAATTTGTTACACTTGAACTCTCATATTTATGATCTATAAATCTACATGGATGTCATCAACCACATACAATTCAACTTCACCATTCTGTTTACCAATAGTAACCATATCAATTGCATCATCAGTATCAATTTGCCGGAGACTAAGGATGCATTTGATAAAACTGAAGTTTGAAAATTGAAGTTTGAAATCTTGAATCTGAAGTCTGAAGTCTGAATCCATTAAGTTATTGAATTGTTAAGTATTAAATCCAATACATTTGAATACATATCACATTGAGTGATAAGTGAATAGCTTATCACTTAATTTTGGGAGCAAATTTTGCCTAGAAAATTCAATGCAACTTAATTAATTCAGATGTTCAATTTTTTATTATCAAACGATCTGAATATATTAAGATCTGAATTCATTAAATTTAAGTGATGAATTAGATCATCAAACAAGGCCTAAGGTTCCGTTTGATAAAACTGAATCTGAATTCTGAAATCTGAATACTGAAACAATTAATTTGCTGAATTTTAAGTACTAAAAAAAATATATGAATGTCTGAATTTTAATGTTAAATCTAGTTATACTATTTGATAAATATTTATAACTGAACGCTTAATAAATTTAATTTGACAATTTTGCCCTTATATCCTTTCATTAAAAAAAAATAGAATCTATGATTTAATTAGTTTAAAATTGTTAGGTATGAAAATGACAATATTTATTTTTAAATCCAACTAATATAAAAGATGAAATATATTATATGAGAAGTATGGAGAAGATGTGAGAGTCATTAAAAAAGGAGAAAAGAGAAACTAAAAATCGTTAGATAGAGAATATTAGGTTGTTTAATTGGATAAGAATTTTGAACATAATTAACAAACAAGGGTAGATTTGGTAGATAAGATAAGGTAGTTGAAATAATTCTATTGATTCTTATCAGAATTAAGCATTCAGTTAAGATTCTTGTACTGAAAAAAATACACACAGGTTCAGCACTGCTTAACAAGTTCAGCAAATAAATTTTTATTTATCAAACACTCAAAACATCTGAATGTCTGAAAAAATTCTGATTCAGCACTTTTTTATGTTATCAAACGCACCCTAAGTTTATTATCTTCATGTGGAATTCAGTACATCATCCAACAAGACTGCAGAAATCAGGCAAAATTGATTTGTTCACCCTCATGGCAATAATTTCTTTGAATGTTTCCATACTACCCTCCACATATTTCTCTTGTAGATCTCTGATATATAAACCACCATAAAAGACTTTTAGGCTAAAAAATTTCCCTTCTTGTCCTTTTTTTTTTTGAAAAAAAAAATACAGACTTGGTTTAATTAATTATATCCAAAACTTTGGCTTCTAATATGTCTCACTTTTGAGGAGCAAGAAAGCAATAAGACATTACAATTTAAAAGAAAGGGACCACATAATACGACATAAGTGGTCAAAATCAAAAGTAAAAAAAAATTCACCATCCTCAAATCTATTGATGTCTCATGAGATTAATATTTTACATAAAAATCAGTCACCCCACCAAATCCTGCAATTTTTTAAACCATTCAACACACTTAATACCAACATCAAATAGCTAAAAGATAACATAAAGCATAGCAGGTCTCAATGAAGCTTACTTGACGTTGGTGATGAGCTCGTCTGATCATTGCCATCCTTATCCCTGTCAACATTCTCCATCATCGAAGATCCTGATCTATCGATCAGATTCATATGAATTTTGGCTGCCATTAAAATTTTCTACTAAACCCCTAGAGATGGCTGAGACCATTTCCTCCAAATGTTTTGAGTTTAATCACGTGTTGTGTTAGTTCTAATCCCTTAATTGAAATATGTGATCCAACAACACAAAAATACTCGTGACTAGTCGCGCAAGAGATGTAAAATTTTGTGGCACCGCCACAAAAGTCATACATTGAAAAACAAAAAATAGTTCAAGGACTACATTGATTTAAAAAAATTCATAAGAACTAAATTGATTTTAGTGTAAATGTTCATGATTAATTTGACGAAATTCCCTTAAGTTTAAATAATTAATAATTTACTATCATATGCAGGGCACGCATATGATATTTGGTTTGCCATATTTAGAGGTATCAAAATGGGTGATTTGAACAGATTTGAGTGGATTAAAATAAATAATATGTATAAGTGAGTCAACTCAATTGTACCCATTTAATTAGGTGGATAGAAATGGATAAGTACCATTTTTGCAAGAGTGCTATACAATGTTTTCAGAATCAAACCGAACCGGCTGGTTCGACTGGTTGGACTGCGAACCAGACATACCACCTGTCCGGTCTAGTATCAAACCCGAAAGTTAATGATAAATTGATAGAAATAGGTCGAACCGTATGAACTGCTAAAAACCGTAACTCGGCGGTTTTTAAATTTTCAAAAAAATTGTCAAGAATGAAGCTGCTCAAATTCGAACCGAGTCTCCATATTCACATTAGACAATCTTACCACTAGACCACAGTCATAGAAGAAGTTCAGTTTGTCCTGAGAATTCTACTTAACTTAACTAAAAAATAGATTAAAAAAATGAAAACCTAACATTAAGAAAAGAAACAGCTGACGCACTTTTCTTTCAATCCATCACTTTCTTGAATTCAGGCTTCTACTTCTAGGCCAACAGCTCCTCCAGTTCTCCTCTTGAATTTTTTTTTTCAATTTTTTCTTCTTAATCCTTTCAAACCCAAATACCCACAACAAGATTTTCTCAAGCCTTCACCATTATTATCAAGCTATCATCTTTAGCAGATTGTAGACAAGTTGGAAATTTCAACTTTCACAAGATATTTGAGACTCAAGAGCTTTTCCTGTTTTCCATCATCTTGGTAAGTTTAATTTTTCCCTTTTCAAGGTTTTTGTTTTCTATGTTATTATCTTTAGCCAATTTTTTTGCATTTTCTTCTTTTTTCCCCTAATTTTCATCCATTTCCCCTAGTTTTTGTTTTATTTTTATTTGATTAATTAAGGATGAAATTATGAATCATTAATTATTTTGCAATCATATTTGGAGAAGCTATTTTTTGGATGAAGTATCAAATTAATAAAATTAGACATGGATGAAGTATCAAATTAATAAATTTTGTATCAATGATTGTTCTGTTTTTTCTATGCTGTATATTGTGTTTTTATTGCTTTTTCTATGCTGAAGTAATTAGTCTACCGAATGCTCATTCATCTTGAATTTTAAAGGTTTCACTAAAGCAACAAAATTAAAGACATGTTAAAGTTGTCAAACAAAAGCTTAAAAAAAAGTGCCAAATCGGACCACATGTTTGTATGTCTTGGTAAATCCATAAATGGTAACCTCAGGATCCCATCAATTGACCATTTACTTACACTTGCCGCTAGGGTCATTAGAACCATTAAATTTATTGGCACAAAACTGATTGTATCTCAATTGATGTTTGTTTCATTTAAAGCTAGTTAGTTATTCTTACTCGAAAGTTTCATTTATTCTGTATATTAGATTTTTTTTCTTTTTTAGCTCACAGCTTTTTTAATGTATTTAGTTGTATCTTTGTTTTTCAAAATTTTGGTTTTTTTTTGAGTTTGAGCAATTAGAGTTATATTTTCATAATAAAATTTTAACTTTTTCAGGTTAAGTTGATGAAATTGTGAAGGTGGTATTGTTGCTTGTCATGCCACTGATGGAAGTTTGTTATTCAAATGGTTTGTCTTGAATATGAGTTGGACTCTTTTATAGACTTTTTTAAGGATTGTAAAAGAATTTCAATATTTATTTTATTTATTTTTGTGTTTTTATTTGTGATAATTGGTGAACATTTGGATTGTATCTATTTATGTTTATAATGAATTTATGAAAACTTGTAGTGAATTATTAGGGATGGCAATGGGGGCGGGTGCCCGCGGGGGGCTCTCGGGGCGGGGGGGAATTTTTTCCCCCCGCTTAGAAACGGGGCGGGGGGCGGGGGAGTATACCCCCGCCCCATCCCCCGCCCCGCCCCCGCAAAAAAAAAATATATATATATATATATATAAATATATATATAATTATATATAATATGTAAGTTAATTAGTTATAAACTTATGATAATGATATTATTAGTTAGATGTATTATATAATGTATATTAGTTTATGTAATATAATTGATATTATCAATTATATGAATAATTCTACATGTCTACTAATAGAATTTATTAATTAGTTATACTAAATTTACTAATACATTTATACTAAATTTCTAATTACACTTAATAGAATAACACTTTTTTCTCAAAAAAAAGCACAAACACAATAATGAATTAGTGATTGCATTTGTACTAAAAGTGAAAACTTGACTATTTTAGTTATATTTATTTCATCATATTGGATTGTATTCAAATAACTTATGTTTGATTGTTTTTATGAGTTTCAATTGTAAAATTACAATGAATAATAATTTGGTGATGTGTTGATATTTTAGTACTTGATTATTTATTAAAATTTAATTATAATAAAATTATATAATAAAATTTTATTAACCCCGCGGGGGCACCCGCGGGGGAAGCGGGGCAAGGCGGGGCGGGGGCGGGGCGGGGCGGGGGGAGCAGGAGGCGGGGGACGGGGCGGGGGACGGGGGGAACTAATAGGCAACGGGGCGGGGGACGGGGGAGGGGTCCCCCGCCCCAACCCCGCCCCGTTGCCATCCCTATGAATTATGATATTTTAATTATGTTTATCATTCCAGGTTTTATGTATAACTTTTAGGAAATTTGTTATTATCTCAACTTAAATTTAGTTATGTTGGTGAATGCATTTTACAAACTTATGTTATCAATAACCATGTTAAATTATACATTAGCCGTCAAGTTCAAGTGTAGAATAAAGACCTGTGAAGTACTTAACACTAAAGTTACAAAAAAAAAAAAAAAAAAGCAGAAAACAAGTCAACCGGCTGGTTGGACCGGTCGGACAACGAACCGGTCCCTCTCCAGTTCGCTGGCGGGTCCGAGTTTAAAAACATTGGTGCTATAACGACTACTTTTTGTTTGTCTCAACCAAGATGGATTTTGCGAGGAACTTGGAAATTTACCACAGGTCCACAACCCATTAGTGCAATTTGCTCCCTCGTTTTCACCGATTTCGTTCCCTCCTTCGCAGCACCGCCGTCGCTCCCATTCCCGTCAGTTCTAGTCAACTAAACCCATTCTCTCTCTCTAAATCCTCCTAAAAATTTACCCAACCCAGAATCCCAGATCGAGCGAGGATGAATTTAGCCGGCAAGTGATCGGAGGTAAATCTTCATCTTTTTCTTGCTGATATCTTCGTCTTTGTTTTCCTTGTGCGCTTAAATTGTTTGATAATTAGGAGGGAACGGGTCTGTGTCTGTTTCTGGTTCTAGGTTTTTGAGTTTCCAATCAATATTCGTTAAATCAAAGCTTTTGTGCAGGCTAATTAACTTGAATTATTGGGGTTATTGCATTTCATTTGCCTGTGGCTAGCTGCTGTGAAGACTAGGAGTTGTAGGTCTTTTGGTTGTAATGCTAATATTTCTTGCTTACTGATCGTTGAAGTTGCAGCAGCTTGCGCATGATTGTGTGGGTTGGAGGGGATGGGTTGGGTCTCGCAAATGAACTGAATTTCTGGTCTAGTAGCAAGTTAGAAGAGCATTTCTGTAGAAAACACTGATTTTCCTGTCGAATTCTATTGCGCGAGGATACATTATAGTCTTTCTTACATCATTATGCCTGTGGGCTGTGGTGTAGTGGGATATTGTTTCTTATCTCTTGCCGCCCTTTCTCAGATTTTCCGTTAATTCTCTGCTTCTTCTAACAAGAAAAGGCTCAGAGGCATTTCACTGCCAATTTTCCCTATTTTTTCTTCGTTCTTTCCCCTCATTTACTTGTGGAATATTCTTATTCAGGCAGCTTTTGCTTTCACTTTTTTAACCTTTCTGTGTATTTTAATTTCACTGCTGATTTTTTTTTCCCTTTTTCCTGTTAGTCTTTATTAGTATTGTAAATGCATTGGTGACAATTTTTGGTTTAGCTTTAATTTGAAATTAATCAAATAAAGGATAGTTGTTTTCGTGCATATAAGATGTTTGTGAAAAGCCTTAATGAAAATCTAAATACAAGTGCCTAATGGAACAAGAATTCTTTCCATGTCCTATGATATCGTTTGTAAGCAGGTTCCAACAACCATGGCTTTGTTTTTTCCTTCATTTTGCTGATGTTTCTCTTTTATGTTTTCCATTGATTTTACCTTTTGTTATTTCTGGATTTTAAATGTTCTTGGTATTTTTGGTTAGTGTTTGGGAATTCTTCCTCTCTCCTGTTAGTTCTCAAAAATGCTTGGACATATGAGGAGAGTTTTGCTTTTCATATAGGCTTGCTTCTGAATTATTATTGTTATTTTTTTTGCTTCATGTACTAGTGCATAAATTTCTGAGTTGTTCAATCCTTTTAGATAGCCATGGATATATGTACAAGGCTGAAATAACTCCAAATAGTATATTTCGGTCAGGAGATGGGCTGGTAACTGAAAAGTCAGATATACATAGAGGGGCAATCAAGTGCAACCTAATAAAAAATTCAGTGAATTAATATCTGTGACGAAAAGGTAATTGCATGCTCCAAAGTACACCGTTTCATATGCTGGATATTGTTGTGTTTGTTTCTGATATCAAACATATACTGAACTTTTTGTTCTTTGGTCTTCAGAATTAAATGGCTGCATAAGCATTTCAGATTAGTAATGATCCATTTATGCTCCTCTAGATTCTAAACAGAGGAGCTGTAATTTTAGTGTAAGTGAAAAATTATAGTTGTATTTCAGTTGCACTTCTTAATACAACATTCAATATCTAAATAGTATGGACAAAATTCTTGGACAGCAATTTGTTCTTAAATATTATTCTTTGAAGATAGTTTAGACCTTGACATGTACTACATCCCTAAACCATGGTGGTTTTTTGTTCCCAATCAAATTAATGTTTTTTGCCAATAAGGTATCAATAGAAGCACCATCATAAAGGAATCTAGAGAAGATGGTCCTTTCAGGTTAAATAAATTTCCTTTTAATTAATTAAGTAACTGATTAATTCAAGTCAAAAGATACTTAAGTGTCTAATAGAGAAAATAATTCCTTCCTATGTCATTCACTGCTCCTCTGATGCGAAAGTTAGCGCTGATCTAAATCTTTCGTTCAGTTCTACCTGTGAGATTATGTGGAATTAATTCTCATGGATTGGTAAATCTTCTGGAGTAAAACTTTGAAAAGCTTCTGCAACAGTTTAGTGGAGTAAAAGAGGTGCATCTGTTGGTTCTCAATTCTCATTTTTCATTGTTTACTTGATTAAATTGTTTAAATGTGTCTGATGTTCTTCAAAGTTTCTTAGCACCTGATATCTCCATCCATCACTGAATTTTGCGACTCTTTGCTTTTGATTCATGCTTTACAAAGCATACTTGTACAATTTCACATAGTCTACATTTTCCTACCACTGCCCGCTGCAATTGCCACTATCCAAAGCACAAGCCGCGATCCTTTTCAGGCTCAATCTCAGTCCTTATGTCAATACTGTAATTACAAAAACTGGTCCAATCCTATGATTTCTACTTATTGAGTTACTACTATTATATCTGCTTAGCTATATGTAAGTATCTACCTAGAAATATTGCTGACAACCTATCTATGCATTCATGTATATAGTACAATCTATATGCTACTTGCAATGCAGTAAGATGACCTTGTGATTACCATATTACATACAAATATGCTGTTAATATTGCGGACCTTATCTTTTGTTCATGCAACAATCCCAATATCCCATTACAGGTTTCCCTATTATAACAACCACATAGGGCAACTCATGCAATGCGTGAGTAAATAAAAGCAGCAAAACTGTAAGGAACAGTGATCTTCATCCAGTTTCAAGGTTATATTGGGTGCACTGGTGGGCTTTTCTGTCTTTTCTTGTGCACATTCTTGGTCTTTTCACACTTTTCTTGCTGGCGCGTGGCAAAGATACAGTCCTCAATGCTGCATCTCTCTTGTTGTGACCATCTGATTTTTTCATTGGCTAAGGTGATGTCATTGGGTATGACTTTCCTCTCTTCTCTCTCTTCTTTTCTCTCTCCTCTCTTCTCACTCACCACCGCCCAAAGCGTCAAATGTGCATCTTTCCTCTTCCTTCTCTTCCCCTCCTTTCCTCCCACTCCGCATTCAGATGAAAACTGCTGGCTATAGAAATATCTCGGTAAGGTAGAGAAATATATCTTCTCTGAGTCTCCATGTTTTTTTTGGTGTCGAATTCTTATTTGATCTTGAGTCGTGTCTCTATCCTGTTTGTTTGAATTATCAATGCCAATGGGAAGAGATCTAGATCATTTTTCTTGTTTTAGCTAGGATCAGAAAACTGTATCAAATGGTAAGAGTAGTATCTCCACTTTCATCCTCCATCGTATAGCTTATGTCATTGTCATTTAGAACATGTATTGCAAATTCATATCTTTCATTCAGGGCAGGTGTTGGATTAAATGATGAATTTTTTGTCTTTATTGATAGCTCGTTTATTAGGAGATCCAGAACGAAGCTAGAAAGTCTCGATGGAAGATAAACCAGGGAATGTTAGTATTGAACAGGAGAGATTTCAACTTCGAAGGCTTGAGATCTCCGACAAGAAGAAGGGTTTTATCGAATTATTACAACAACTGACTGTCTGTGAATCTGTATCTGACAAGGACTTTGAAGAACGATATCAAGAGCTTGCTAAACATGGTGATGAGCATGTTATATGTGTAATTGAAGATCGACATGGTGGGAAGATTGTTGCTAGTGGAAGTGTTTTTATTGAAAAGAAGTTTATAAGAAACTGTGGCAAAGTTGGCCACATTGAGGATGTTGTTGTTGATTCCTCAATCAGAGGAATGCAATTAGGAAAGAAAATTGTTGGGTTCCTCACTGACCATGCTTGTTCAATGGGTTGCTATAAAGTGATCCTCGACTGCAGCTTGGAGAACAAACCTTTTTATGAGAAGTGTGGGTATAAACAAAAAGAGGTTCAGATGGTAAAATACTTTATCTGAATGCATCTTTTTTTTTTTTTTTTAAATAAATTTTGGGGTCCCAATTGTACTAGCTGATTAAAAGCTAACACACCATTACAAGTTCTTTTTTTATCAACTTGTCGCAGATTATACAGTTTGCTGTTGTTCTTTTAGAGCATAATTATGTGTGTGCCAATCAAGGGATCTTGAAATTTAATCTGGAAGTTCATTAATCCATTTGGTATTCTCTCAGATTTGAGCTTCATCTGAAAATGCTTATAAAACTTCATCTGAAAATGCTTATAAAACTGTTGTACCAAAACATTTTTTTGAAATTAAAAAGCACAATGCTATAGGCAAATTTTGATGTTCCTATATTTGAGCGGGTAATCATTAGTCACGCAAGCCCCTTTTCAGTTGTAAATTACAAATTGACTGCATATAAAAGCCTCGACAATGTGGCTGTAGAAAACAAGCCAGGCACTAGTCTGTAGCCAAAAAGTGGCTGGTGCAAGAGGTGCAACTCTTTTGTGGTCAATTCACTGTCAATGTTCTCTGAATATCTACTTTTGCCACTCATAGGGAAACAATAAACTTCGTATGAAAAAGGAACTCCGACAAGAAGTAGGATGAAGACAATATAATTACATTTGACAGCCATTAGAATACATAATCCCAAATATTAACTGAAGATAAAAATTGTAAATCATCTGCTTTAACACTTTGTTAGTAGGTCCTTTGATTGCTTCTGCAAATTTGATGAAGTCTTTCTGTCCTTCAACTGGAAAAAATTCATGCTTTTCAGTCCTTCAACCAGGAGGCAGTTTTGAACTGAGCAACGTAAGCAGAAGATCAAACAGGAAGCTATCATAGACGATCAAGAATCTGAGATTGCAAACCATTAGTTAGCTATTGGTTAGGTGACCACATAAAAAATGGGTACCTGCATGCGAATGTGTGTGAGAGAGAGAGTGAGTGTGAGAGAGAGAGAGAGAGAGACCAAATTTGCAGCAATCAGGCAGTAATATATACGTTGCTAAATAAGTAGATGTGATTTTGAACAAGCAGTCCTTTCTGTATTAGTAAACTATTCTCATTTTGGCATATTTTTATAACTACGATAATAGTTCAAGAATATCCCACATGAGCTAGGTGGTCAATATCCAAAACGTTGCCGGCTTGCCAAAAAAAATCCTAGGTGGAAAAGGCATTCCTCAACATATGTTGTGAAATATGCCTGAGGATGTTTCTTTAGCATGGCAGGCAATCATGAATGAGGCTTCTATCCCAGAATACTTTACTACCGCATGATGCCCAATAATTCCTTCCATTAAATGAAATAACTATTGGAGATGCTTCCATAGCATTACAACACCCAAGCAAGGGATAGCCAGTTGAGAAAGAAGGCCAAAATACACTCACCAGTGTAGGATATACTGCAGCAGCCATCCAAGTAGCGGAATCTGATAGAGAAATACCTTAATAGATGGCCAAAATCCACTGAGAGGATAAATATCAACACATAAATGTATTAGTACTAGTTCTTAGAATAGGACTCAGAAATAAAACAAAGTACGACAATTTAATCAGGTATTATCATTATGAACTGACCCAAAGAGAAAAACGCAGCCATAAAATTCTGTGATTATACCAGCTATTGGCCAACGAACAAATATGAGGAACATCCCAAGAAGAAATGAAACAGATCCCTGAAACAAAAGATGAAGAGAAAACAAGCAATAACATCCAATTCTCTTCTTTATTTGTATGCTACTATCTTGAAGAATCAAGGAAATCGTTCTAGTAAGTTTTATCGTGCTTCTGACTAGCATGCGCAAAGTATTTCATTTAATTGTCAGAAGAAACACCAAACAGATCTACATACTGAAACAAATGCAAGATAGTTATAATGCCAATAAAGAATATGCAGAGAAGGTAATCAAGCAAACTCAAGTAAGATCTTTGCATCGTTCTCATCAAGACAAAGGCTGTTGTGCCTCATGAATACCTTATAGTTCCTTCTGTCTGTAAAAAGTTGCAGTGTCGACCGCCAACCCAGTAAAAGGGCAACACCTGCCAACCATAATATCTACTAACAAAGGCATGAGATGGACACAAGTAATTTTTTATAGACTCAAGTAATTTTTTATTCTATACTTGGATATCATCTAATAATCAAATCTTAATTACAAACTATTCTCTTACATTTCCCAGAGCAAGCAAACCCCTGTCAAAAAATAGAATGATGCCAAGAAATGAGAAGAGGATCCCAAAACCAACAAGACCTATGCCAACCTCTGCACAAAGAAAATCCCATGATGGAGATATTAGAAGCCCACTTGAATTGAGCAAAATGTAATACATGGCAGGAAAAGGAGAAAAAACTAGAATGATTATTTATGACAAGCAATTATCCTCAGATACATATAACTGCAAAAGAAAAATAGAACTACCATTTTGAACATGCAACTATTGACAGTTCAACTCTTTAACATCTACCAATAAGGCAAAATGAACTTTAACAGAGTTGCAGTCAAACTTAAGCTTTACCAAAGGGTATTGTGAACCTAATGGAAATTCAATTTCACACTCAAAATGCCTTGAAGTTTTCAATGAGATCGTTTATGTCAAAAGTTAAAACTATCACAATATTTCTGCCAACTACCATAACAATATGAACTTTTCAGGAGCTTTTGTCCATGAAAATATTTGATGTCCATATCTACCCATGCTTCGACAAGATTTATTAGGTTACTAAAAACACATCCAAGCTCTGTCATTAAGTGAGAACATTTAACAGCTCTCTTCACCACTTAAAAGTCACTTCAAATACGTCAAAGGGAGTTCAGTTTATCTTAAATTCAAGGAGCTTGTGCAAAAAGTCACCTTCAAATCAAGTAGATGCATTATTTACAGAAATTTTTGTTTCTTGTAGATGTACTTGGTTCTACTATCTTTCACCACCAACCAGGTTTTCTAATCAAAAGAATCAAATAACTTACAGCAGTCCTCTCTCTCCTCTCTCTCTGTGTCTCAAATGAAACTGACCAATGAAATGCCCCTGCACCCACCCCACCCCAAATTTATGAGCTACAAAAAAAAAAAATAAAACCATGTAAAGACAGTCTCTTCTCTTTTGTATACGAGAAAATTAATGGACAACTGTCAAATTTTGGGATAAATAAAAGTTTTTCTTTGATAAAATGAATAAACACATGCGAACTTTGTGCATGTTGCTAGTACCACCACCATATGTTTTGGGCAAAGGTCATGGTAATGAATACATCTCCCCCCCCCCCACCTCTCAAAAACCCCCAGAAAAAAAATAAAGAAGGAAGAAGAAAAGAAAATACTATTACATCGCTTTCTTTGTGAAACAAGTCACCTCAACTATACCCCTGTTCAAAGCCTCATTCTAATTGACAGAATAGAGTCCAAACCAGTTTAATAACTGTTTGAAAGATTATGTACATTACCTAAATGGACTGCAGAGTATCATCAAATATTTCAAAACCTGCTAGCTAGTAAGTCCAAAACATACCCACTTTATGGCCATAATTGTACACCCTAATCCTATAAAACTACACTACACATAAACCCAAAGTTGAAAACTTGACTTAGCAAATATCTGCACATGATTTGCTCAAAGGAAAGATAAAATTCCAGTGTAGTAAACCAGCATCTAATTGTGGATCAAAAAAGATGCTACTCTCCAGTTAGGAATTAGTCTTCTACTTCTAGTTACAAAACATGAAGACTTTTCCATCTATTGATATTGTTAAGGCAGAGAAGGATGTACTTTGCAACAAAATTGTAAGTACTAAAAAGAAAATACCATAGAAAATAGACAGGCTAAGCAATGTTTTTATCTGGAATCAAAAAGCTTGATAAAGACTCTTCAGTTAGGAATTAGGCTACTACTTCTAGTCACAAAACATGAAGACTCAAACGTCTATTGATATTGTGAAGGCAGAGAAGGATGTAGTTTGCAACAAAATTAGGAGGACAAAAAAGGAAAATACCATAGAAAATAGACAGGCTAAGAGATACTTTTATCTGGAATCACAAAGCTTATACCAAGTTTAGACTGCCAAATGTTCAAAATGAGAAAAGCAGCCAGATGTAGAATAGATGAAATTTAAACGTATTCAACAATCAAAACTTACTCTTTTGCTCACTGATTTCATAAGCCATCTTGCTGGTGCTAAAAATTGTGTTGAAAGCGAAAACAAAGCTCCTTCAAACAAATTACAGTGTAAAACTTCCAGTAGAAAGAACATTATTCAACAAAACTAGGAAAACACATATTTAAAGAACAAGAAGTCATTAACCAACAAATGTTAAGCAGACAAAGATGCACTTTAATATAACATTTACTGCTAACTGTCACTAGTAACACAGAATGTCCAGAAAATATATGCTTTCAAGGTTAAAGAAAAAAAAAAGGAAGTCCAGTCACCCATACCCTTTGTTGAACCTAAATTATCTCCATAGTTCACCAAATACTTCTACTAATCTAGTCATAGGAACAAATAACAGAAGCTAGTGACTAAGCTAAACTTGACCAGAAAAGGTCGAAAGACTAGAAATGCATGGAGCAATTAAATGAAAGCAGAATTATCTTTTTATCCCTAGTCTCCATCTTTCATGGATGGCAAGAAGTCTCACTATCTTTACACTTCCTACTGCCCAATTAGATGCACCCTTGGTTTCAAAACTTGGATCATAAATAAAAATTCAAGAATAAAGATTTATAACCACAAGAGTGCTTAGATTTCCTAGATGATTGAAACATAACAACAAGATTTCCATCAGATTAGAGTTTCATCATTGTGTTCTCTAAAAGTAAACATAGGAGAAATTGGGCAGAGGAGTATCAGGTTGCTGTTAGAGCAGTCAGTCAAGCTTCAGCCATAATAGGGGTGTTCAATAAATCACCCAACAAGATAGCAGACCAATTAAACAGCTTATTCAAATTTTAGAAGGTGAGCTAGAGTTCTTTGAAAATTAAACATTAAAAAAATAGAAACGTTAAGAAACTTCAGCACTATGGAATGGCAGTTTTGCTCCTTATGCAAAATAAAGTAACCTTGGTGCAACTATATTTATTGACACGGTAAGCTGGGTAATATCACACAAAGAAATTGAAAGTATATGCAATGCACTTATGCATGAGAGGATACATATCTCAAAAAATATAAGCCACCTTCAAGAATA